GCCAGAAGCCTCGGACGACACAATCTCAAAATATTCAATTGCCCACATTGTGTCTACAAATTGACTTGTTTAAGAGTTCAACCCATTGTAAAAGAAAGCAATGAGTTGAGTCATTTTGTGGCCATGTTGTGGACAAGCATCTACACAGCTCATGTATCGTTCCCAACAATGATAAAATAACTCATCCGCTTCCTGAGTAAAATTTAATATTTTTCTTTTGAGAAGAGTGAGTTCAGATGGAGGTTGTGATTCTTTCCATTTAAAATAAGTCGACATATTTACCCAATAATCCACATTAATTGAAAACTCAGGACCATAAAAATCACTTCCAAAGAAAGTCATCTTCAGGAAATATATATATATATATATATATTTTAAGCTCTGGCGGGCTGCTCACTTGCTATGTGGATTTGCGAAAACCATGTACAAGTAGAGATCAGGAAGAGAAAGACAGAGAGAGCAGTAATCCAAAATAAAAATAAAAATAAAATAAAATCCTAAATTATAAATAAAAATAAAAATCACTATCGAATTAAACAACTATGCCAAAATCCCCGACAACAATGTCAAAAATTGATCGTTCGTTTTTCAATCAAAAATAAAGAACTAAACAAAACACTAATTCAATAGAACAGTGGATTGTCCAGGTATCGAACCACGAGGACTTTGGGCTAAGTTATATTAATTCGAATGGTAATTTTTAATTTAATTTGAGGAAGGGAGGATGATTTGATTTTTGCTAATGAGAATTTAAATTAAAACTAAAACAATTGCACAAATAAAGAGAATAATCTAAATATGAAGAGAGACTTAAGATTTCGAATCCACTACTAATATTATATCATGTAATTAAAATATTTAATTCTAGTAAATCAATGGCCCGGATAATAATGATGTATCATGGCTACAAGCCCCCATCATCATCGTCAAGAAGATGAGTATATTCAAAAACGTAGGCACTAATCATCTTTGGTCAGCATGAATTGTCTACACTAAACTAAGGTTGCGGCACGATTCGTCTCCCCTAAGCATGACTTGTCTCACGATTTGTATATTCAAGAAAGTAAAACTGTTGTATAATCTTGCATTCTCAATCACAAAAATTGAATACATAAATCGAATGAAAAGATTATTTGAATAAAAGATCTAAAAACAATCATACAACAATTATCCAATTCCAAAGACAAACTAGAATTAAAATACAAAATTACATAATGCTTGATTAGAGTTTCATCTCAATCTTAAGAAGAAAGCTTAGCCACTCATGGGGAGGTTGAACACTTCGGATGTTGAGAAGAAAGCTATGGATTGATGATTTGCACTTCTTCTCTAGCTTCTAACCGTCTTCTCTAGGGTTTTAGATCCCAAAACAGATCTCCAAAATCTCTTTTTATAGCCTTTAGTAAATTCTGAGTCAAAAACACGCGCACAAATATCGAGACAAATCTGCTCGTGCGAATTGGAAATTTTGCTCGTGCAGATTCAGTCAAAGGGAATTTTGGGCAGGGAAATCCGCTCTTGTGAATTTGTGAATTCCACTCATGCGGATTCACTCAGTCACGGATTTTTGCCTCTTTTTGCGATCCTTTCGTCTTCAGAGTGATATTAACCTAAAAAGGAAGAAAAACACTTTATTGTATCAAATATCATAAACTAAAAGACTAAAAACGTAAGGTAAGGAGCCTCAAAGTGTAAGATTTTGGCTCAGATCAATGTGTGGAAAGAGAGAGATCAATATTCAGGAGTTGCATAGATCTGTTTTGATGTCGATAATCAGATGGTTGATCGAAGGGCAGTAGCTATGCCATTACTTTCTTCCTTAGTGGCGGAGGTGATGGTCTGTCTCGAGGCGATTCAGTGGGCAGCAGGGAACGATTTGCAACATGTGATAGTCAAGACTGACTGTCAAGTTTTAGTCCAGATACTTCAACGACAGGCGATTGATGTAGACTGGAGTATTGCAACAATAGTTAATGATATGAGATGTGCTTGTAAGTCTTGTGTTTGTATTTCTGCTTGTAAAGTAGGAAGGGATGTCATCCAACCGGCCATGTAATCAAGTGTTATGGTCAATATTATGGTTTTCTTTCGTTCTATATCCATACACCCAAAAAAAAAAAAAAAAAAAAAACAAACAAAAAAAAAAAAAAAAACAAACAAACAAACAAAAAAATCTTGAGTTAAATTATCCTGTAAATTTAAAATTCAAGGGAAGTTATTGTAATTATGCCAAAACTAAGGAAGTGTTTGATAAGATTCAGCATTTAAAACTAAATGCATTAAATGATAGGGTGATTCTATTTACACACTACTAATATTCTTAATACACACCATTAACAGATTAAATTTATATTTCAATAATATCTTTCAATAAAATGGTCATTAAGGACAACATGGGATGTGTTCTAACTATTTAAAAATTTAACATTTAAAAATACAAAACACTCTTCGCACACTATCATCCCTATAGGGTTTAGGGTTTTAACATATAAATATTGTATTTCTTCATCATCTTTGTCATTAACATACACTCGTGATATCATTCATTATTAATTAACTCACTTCATTATCTTCTCCGTTATACTTATTTTTCAAACTCGAAACACTATTGCCTATGAAGATTTAGGATTTAAGAACATTGAAATTAATTAGTTTTGAAGATTTGCACACTATGAATGACATTGAGATTGTTGGTTTTGATATAAACATTGAAAATGTTGATTTGAATATTGAAATACTAGTTTATGACTTAGCTTTTTGGTTTTTTATTTTTCTCGTTCATATGTTGGAAAGATAAGTTTGTTACTCGTGTTCGGATAATCAGAGTTGAACTTCCATACAATGTTTGATTTTTTATATTTGAACAAAACAATTTTGTTCAAATTATTATCAAATATTAAATGTTCATACATAAAAAATTGAACATTTTAAGTCAATTCGGTTAAAATAAATTACACTTTTATTCATTATTCATATATAAATTTTTGAACACAATAAATTTGTTCAATTTTGTATTCATGAACATGACTAATTTGATGAATTTTTTAAAAAATTTTACAAAATTCTATACCCACTCAATGTAGCAATGTTGAAATTGAAACACCTCACCAACGATCCGAAACGCCGAGACGACGAGATGAGACATGACAAGAGTTCAACACCAACTATAGAGATTAACACCAGCAAAGATGAAGGCCGAATGAAGCCTCCACAAATGATGAAGAACAAGATTGATGATTGTTGTGCGTAGTGGTGAAAATGAAGAGTTTTTTATGTGTGTAATGGTGTGTATTCAAATAGTTAGTGGTGTGTTAATATAGGGTTAGTAATGGAAAGTTAAGATGTGAACTAAGATATTTATAAATCCTAAAAATTATTTTATGTGTGTATTAAATAATGGTATATATTGAGAGTATCAGTAGTGTATAAATAGAATCACCCTAAATGATAATCAATTAAATTTGTTTGATGACCACAATTGATATCACTTAAATATAAGAAAATTTTGGTTGAATTTGTTTGATAACCACAATTAAATCTGTTTAATAACTACAATTAAATCAATTAAATCTGTTTGATAACCACAATTGATATCATATGAAACTTACTTAATTCTGTCTAAATTTATAAATACTAAATATAAGCGTGAATATAAACTATTATAAACTCACTATCACTACCATCACTACTATCATGCCACTACCACTGCTACCACTACCATTACCACCACCATCACTATTACCACCACCTTCATCACCATTGTCATTGTTATAGCACCACAGTCATTTTACTACTGCCACCACACTACCACTACAGTCGCTATTGTCATTACAACCACCACTACAATCTTTCACCTCCATAACCAATATCACTGTTGCCATAACCACCACAACAACCACCACCATCATTACACCAAGATTACCCTTCCACTATCACCACAACCACTATTCACCTTCCACCTATCTCCATCACCATTGCTATTAGTGTCATAGCTAATGCCACCGCTACCTCTACCACCACGAACTCACCATCTATTTTAAATTTGATCTTATACAATATCAAATAACTTATTTTAGTTTAACACTTAAATTTTTATTGAACTTCCAGCTTGGAAAATTTAGTATTCAATTTTCAACTTTATCAAACACCTCCTAAATCTTATTATATTTTCAACAAACTTCAGAAGAGGTATCAAAAAAAAAAAAAAAAAGTGAGAATTTGTGGAGGATGGATATTGAAAAAAAAATGAGTTGATATTGATAAAAGATTAAAAAAAAATACTAAACAAAATGAATTGATAGATCAGCACCCAAAAAAATATTAAATAAATAAACAAAAACTACACACCACAAGAGGATCTTACAAATTTAGCAGTCCAGTCCAGTCCAAGAAGATTTCCGGCACAGATTTGGCGTCACTACTATGTGCAATGTACAGCGATGACTGTTGTATGACTTGTGAAACTCATTTCAAGTCTTATTTTGATGATCCAAATCGTTCAATTTTAAAAAAAAAAAAATCGACAAAAATATACCTATAAAAAATCGAGTTTATTGGATATTAATAAGGAAAAACTATACGCCGGTGGAAGTTCAAAAAAAATATTACCAAAGCATGGAGGAGTGCAAGTGACACTTGCACCCTCACAGCCTTTCATTTGCACCCCACCATAGACACACTTACACGTTATGTATTTGTAATTTTTTTCTCCAACTCTCACCTACATATAGTTTCCCCCATTAATAACCTCTTCATCAAATTACATTTGTATTTAGTTTGTTACATATTTATTTATTTTATATAGATGTAATTTGATTGATGAAAGAGCTATCAATATCTAATCAATTTGATTTTTTATGGATATGTTCTACTCGATATTTTTTAAAAATAAACAATTTAGATTATCAAAATAGAATCCGAAGTGAATCTCAAGAGCCGCACAACAATCACTGTTGTGCATTGTGCACAGCAGTGACACCAGGTCTGGTTGGCACAATTACTATCATTTTCAATTTCCATCAAGTATAATCTTTCTATATATTGTAAAAATTCACATGTGAGCAATCGTTCGTTGCTTGTACATCCTTTTACATAGGCATCATATCAAATGAATGCAACAAGTCACAAGTAAATAAATAGCCTGCCTTTTGCCGAGGCTGCTCTATGGTTCCATGAGTATAGTTTGGAAAAGGTACAACAAGAAGCAATATAAATAAATCACTGGTTAATTAATTTATGCTAATGGTGCTAACTTGTTACGAACAATCAGACATACTATCACTCAATTCACGGCCCTTCGTTTCAAATGGGAAAAAAAGTACAGAAATCCCAGAAAGAAAGATCACGAGCTCAAATAGAACAACAGCTGTAGTTTGGTGACATCCATGTACCAAACTAACTGCGACCAGAGGACATACCATTCCACCAATTCTTCCAACGGAGCTTGCAACTCCAACTCCAGTTGCTCTCACTGATGTTGGATATATCTGCAGTTCACAAATAAATAACATACAGTACAGCAATCAATTTGCTAGCCTTTAGTGGAGAAATGGTTCGACAATGAGCATCTATCTACACATATCCTTAAACCACCCTGATGCAGAATGGCTATTAAGAAAAACCGTTCAACTATTCAATTTATCTCAAAACCAAAATATATGGAGAATTGCTCTAAAAGGGAAGTGCAAAAAAATCATGAAGAGAAAGGACAAAAAGAACACAAGGGCCACAACCCTAATCTCACAACCGCTACAGCCTACTCAATTTCTCATTTTTCAAAACTAACCTAAAACTATTGCGTAAAGTCATATATATAGGCAATGTAAGAAACTCCAATTAAAAATAGGAAAACTTAGTCTCTAATAAAATAAGTAAACTGAATAGACTAAGTGTAACACTTGTGAAAATGCATTAATGTTTCTTGTTATTAGAGTTGGGATCCTTTTTAATTGATCTTAGACCATTGTTTGATGATTCATTTTGTAATTGCCCAAAACAGGGTTCGGGCAAGAGAATTGTGTCCGTTTGAAGTTTGAGCACCTAGGTTGTGTTGCACAGTTCGCTCGAGTACAAGATTGGTCGCTCGAGCAATCTTCTGACCCTTCTAGTTCTGAGTTTCGAGACTTACTGCAAGTTCAAATTCTTCGCTTGAGCTGTCTGTTCATCAAATAGCCTGAGATCGTATGAGCTTTCTTTCATTCACCGCTCAAGAGTAGGTTTTGTCACTCAAACAGTCTGTTTGAATTCAGCGCATAAAAAGCTACTTTATGTCAAATTTGTGGGCTCAAAACCCACTTTTTGGCCTTACACTATATATAACCTATTTTCTCTCTACTTACTTTTTACACTCTCTCTCTCTACAACTCTTATCAACCCTCATGTTTCTTTCAATCCAACAAGATCAAGAGGGATTTAGACCCTAGTTCTATACCAAGCATTTCATCTCCAACAAAGCGTTTTTAATGAACTTTCTGTCTAAAAAATGTTAAAATACTCGCGTTACCAAGGAACAAGCTTCTAAGCTATCAAAGAATAGTGTGTTCCTCTCTATTCAATTAGTCTCTTGGATTTAAGGTAACTTGTCATTACTGTGAAACAGATGCAGTGGATGGAAATTCCAACAGCTGTCAACAGTAATAAAAACAAAAAGAACATCATTGCATGGCATCTAAAAGGAATGGGTATGGTTACAGCTTTGTTCTTACCTTATGTCATCAACGAAAATCTTTCTCCCAAATAAAGAACCAAATTGCTATTCTATTTCTTGTTTCATGCTCCTAGATGGTAAGTGTCCATGATGCAGGACGAGTAGGGATTACTTTCCTACAAATAGTGAGCTCAAGTTAAAGTATACTGGCAGTAGCAACAATAGACTTATAGGGCTGGATTTTGTGAGATTTTGTGGCTGCAAAAGTACTTAAAAAATAAGAGTTCAAGGGTTTGTAAAAGGGTAGGGTTTGGAGAATGAAAATACGAGTGTTTATTGGCTATCGGGTGGCGGTTCTGAACACTGTGAATGGTGACGTGAACAGTAATCTTACTGGATAAAAGAAGAGGAGAGAGAGAAAAAAAAAGTGCTTCACCCTCACAAGGGATAGGCCAATCACACAAATACAATCTCAAATTCTCATAATATTAACTCTTACATTAAATCATTGAGATTACACATACATTTATAGGCTAAAGACCTTCCTAATTCTATAAGGACTATTACTCAAATTTAGAAACAAAAAATATTTAACTAATATTCTAGATCAACTATAACTTCCAATTCTACTTCAATCATAATAGGAAACTTTAATGACTATTAATTCTACTTAAATATCAAAATAAGAAATTTGGACTTTTGACTATTAAAATTATTTTAGACATAATAAAACCCATATTTAATAACCCATTTAATAACTTAACCCAAAAGAAAACCCATGGATGACCCAACAACCCATGTCCAACAATTATTGAAATTACCATTATACCCTTAATTACTAAAACCTACTATAATGACATGAAGACTCAAAATTATTCCAAATCTTTAATTTTTGATGCCCTAAATGTGCTTCATGTGAAATTCCAAATTTGCACTTTTTCTTCTTTCCATGATCTTCATCATTCTCCCCTGCAGTCGAAAAAACTTGACCTTGAGTTTTATAATATTGAAATAGAAGGATTATGAAATCTTGCACTTGCAACCATTCAAATTGATTGTTTTGAATGAATGATGAGAAAATAAAAAAGCTCAATGTTGTCATCATTCCATTGACCACATCGAATTTATTAGGAATAATAAACTCAATGTGAACTTCCTTTTTCTTGTGAAAAGCAAAAAGTTCAGTTGCATTCCCATTATTTTCTTTGGCTTCCTTAGCTTTAGAACCTTGATCATGACGATCTTTCATGCTTTCTTTAGTAAGCAAATTAATTTTTGCCTTCATTTCTTCAATATCCTCAATATTAACAACATGTTCATCTTGCTCTTTTATAGTTTCTTCAAAATCTTCTACACTATCAACCTTTTGATACTGGATATTAGTCTTCTGTAAAACAACAGCCAACAATCCTTCCATGGAAGGTTTCAATCCATTCAAAATTGTTTTGATAGTTTGCACATCACTCTTTATTGTTGCAACATCCTCCTTAATTATTGCAAAATCCTCCTTTAATATCACAACATCTTTCTTAGTAGCTCTATAATTTGTTGACGAGGCTTCACACTTCCAATTTAATTCAATGCTTGTCAACATTGTAACAAAGAAAGAAATTTCATCAAAAGATTGATAACAAACAAGGTAGGATCTTAAAGCTCTAATACCAAACTGATGTAGGACAAGTAGGGAATACTTTCCTACAAATAGTGAGCCCGAGTTGAAGTATACTGGCAGCAGCAACAATAGACTTATAGGGCTGGATTTTGTGGGATTTTGTGGCTACAAAAAGTATTTAAAAAATAGGAGTTTAAAGGTTTGTAAAGGATAGGGTTTTGGGAATGAAAACACGAGTGTTTATGGGCTATCGGGTGGCGGTTCTGAACACTGTGAATAGTGACATGAACAGTAATAGGAAATTTTAACGACTTCTAATTCTACACCAACTATGACTTCCAATTCTACTTCAATCATAGTACGAAACTTAAACGACTTCTAATTCTACTTCAATATCAAAATAGGAAACTTGGACTTTTGACCACCAAGGTTATTTTAGACATAATAAAACCCATTTAATAAATTGACCCAAAATAAAACCCATGCGTGACCCCTACAACCCATGTCCAACAATTATTAGTATTACCTTATACCCTTGATTACTAAAACCTACTATAATGACATGAAGACTCAAAATTATTCCAAATCTTTAATTCTTGATACTCTAAATGTGTTTCACGTGAAATTTCAAATTTGCTCTTTTTCTTTTTTCCATGATCTTCATCAGTCCAACTATAGAAGTTGGCAACAATTAACTGGAATTTCATTTTCATTAGAAGTCTTAATGATCGGAAAGCACTTGAGTTAGTATCCTTGTTATCATTGCTTGGTGGTTTTTCATTGTCTCCTTTGACTCGTGATAGAAGGGTTTGCCTCGCTCACTCTTCTGGTATCTTTTCATGTAAGTCCTTCTTTGATAGGATCATTGATAAACCCACAATTCCTTCTTTTCCATTCCACAAGAAGAGTTGGAAAGCTGTAGTGCCATAAAAAATGAAGATTTTTATGTGGTAATTGGCTCATGGGGCCATTTTGACCAATGATGCCTTTCAAAAGAGGAGACTTAATCATGCTCTTTGTCCTCAAGCAATGCATTATTTGTAGGAGAAATGGGAAATCAGCAAATCATCTTTTCTTGCATTGCCCCATGGCTTTGAACCTATATGGCAGTGATTATTTCACCTGGATATCTCATTTTGGGTTGCTCCAGGCAATTGCGTTCAAATGCTCTTAATTGATTTTTAGGGCATTGGAGGCAACCAGAAAGCAGAAACATTGTGGTTTTGTGTTGTGTTAATGCAATAATTTTTTAAGACAAGGTTACAGACTTGGATTCATTATGGGATAGGGTGTGCCATTTGGCTTCATTTTGGTCTTATGCTTCTCCTGCATTTAAAGGGGTCCCGCTCTTTTTGATGTCCCAGGATTGGAGAGCAGTTTGTAAATCTTAGTTTGTTTTTCGTTATGTTTGATTGCGGTTTTTCTTTGTCGTTACTTGTTAGAGGACTCATTATCCTGCCCTTGTACCTTCTTTTTCTTTATCAATAAACTTTCCTTTTGTGGTTGATCAAATAAATAAATAAAAAATGTGCCACGCCTGTGCTGTGTCCGGCACAAGAATGCCACAAATATTTAATTTAATTTTAACATAAATAAGAAGCGGCTAAAAGCTACATAACATATCTCTAGCTGTAGTCCATGATTTCATGCTTGTGAGTTGGATATGACACAAAATCCAACTGCCAAGGTGGTAAGGAATCTAAAGGATAGGGTAGTTTATGGGCTTAGAGACTTTACTGATAACCAGCTGCAGTTAAGCCGGACCATGGGCTGGATTGTAGGTAGACACCAAGACATAATGAAGATTTTAATCATTTTGAGATGATAAAATTTTTTACGACTTACCTCTGGAGCATATATATAGACAATTGTGAAGGTTGATGTAATGCATATGCGAGCTCCAAACAGAAGACCAGTTGTCAACCCCGGAGCCTGATGAAACACCAATGGAAGGAGGAAAAGGCAACACAAGAAGAACATAGCTGACATCGAGAGCTTACGACCAAGTTTATCAACTATGGCAGCTGATATGAGGAGCCCAGGGAACTCTGGAAAGTAAATCAAAGTTAAATGTGATTCAGACCTCTTCTAGGGATGAAAAAATATGCAATCACGTAATAATGTGAACACTATCATATAGAGTAAATAACATTGAAAATATAAAAAGCCAAACCGGCAAAACTTGTGATGAAAACATCTCTGTAGCTAACATCATGGGACTCCTTTGATTGCAACTCAGTCGGTGTACATTTATTATGCCCATTATTCAACTCCGTGGTAAGCAGAACGAGGCCATAATACGAGAATGCATTCCCAAAAAATACCACCCATAAGAGCAGGGTTGACCGAAGTAATTTTGGTGAAAGAAGCATAAACAGTGATGAAGCACCTCCCTTATTGGACTCCATATCATTGGGAGATACATCTTCCTTTTTTGCTGTTGGGAGCAAGTGTGTATCTTCTGAAGCAGTACACTTTTCATCTAGCTCAATTTGGTGATCAGAAATAAGAATGCCTGAAGGGAGCTTTGTTCGATTCATTCTTGCTGCTTTCTCCAAGATATTTAGTGCATCATTTGTTCTTCCTTTCATGCATAAATACCTTGGTGATTCAGGGGTCATGCCATAGAACAAAAGAAGTAATGATGAAGGAAGAGCAGAGAGGACAAGTAACCACCTCCAACCCAAGGTTGGCATGACAAACTGCAATGAAGACAGCAAGATAATGAAGATTTAGCAATACAAGCCTTTTTTCTTTTTTTTTTTCTTTTTTTTGATAACTAAAGATAGAAATTGAATCTTAAATTTATCTTAAACTTTAATACAAAATTTCCTCTCATTTTCTCTGCAATGGTCATCCCACGCATTCCAATGAGAGTCATAACAGATTGCTAACTTAGCATGCCACTTGCATGAAATGAACCCAATAAACCCCTGAATTCATGGAAAAATAAATCCTGCAAACTAACAATTGACAATTAGCTTCCATTCCCCCAAACTTGTTCACTAGAGCAATCATGCCGTTAACTGAGAAGATTAGAAATTAGTATTATTTGCCATGACTGCCTTAAAAATTAGTATAACCAACTCTATGCCAATATATGATGATAGTCAATTGTGTGATTTAAATCATACCAAACAATCAGATAACTTAAATTTGAAGATATAATTGTCTTAGATCAGTTTGATTCTGAATACCCCAAGGAAAGTCCCTCATTTATTTAATTAAGGATGCTTATGATAACAAAGATGTTTTACATCAATTCCATGGCCTAATAGCCAACCAATGTGACCCAAATAACATGGGATACTAGAAATATTGAAAAACAAGAAGAAAGATAAAAATAAAATTAAGAGCAGAATATGTGATTAAATATTTAGTAAAATTTACAGGACATGTTTGGATAGCAACAAGGCATATCAATTTCAAATGCCCGGGACCATAAATCTCATAGACATCAACCAAATAATTTTGTGAATGAGCAACACAATGTATTCCTTTTAACTACTTGGTTTAATGATCATACGTTGAAGAAATTATATTCACCCCTAAAAAAAACAAGCCTACATTTGCCCAATAGAGAACATGATCATACCCATGCAAGCGAAGCCTCCAAAATTGTTCCAAGAGTCCAGAAAGCTGAAAAAACAACCATCCAAGTGCCTCGGTTTGGAGCAGGAATGAACTCTAAAAGGATGAGAAGTACAGGCCCACCTCCCAAACCGATACCAACCAAACACCGGAAAATTATCAATGAAATGAAATTTGGGGCAAAAGCACTCAGAAAACCAGCTCCAGCAGTAACCATTGCTGTAATGAGGAATCCTTTCCTGATGTGATAGAGAAACGAGACAAAAAAAGGGTCAAAAGAAGAATTTCTCTCTTTTTTTTCTTCACAAGAAAAGTTTAAATATATATATATATGTTTAAATCATGGATTCTACTAAAAGAAGAAAAAAAAGAATAACAGGTAAAAAGTTGAAACAACTGTAATTTCTCTATAAAATAAAATAAATAAATAAAAAGCCAAGGTCAATTCTGGTTCATAAAGAAATTGAAGAGCATGAAAAACTATAGCAAAAATCAGAAGAATTTGGAACCAGCAAATCCAAAATAGTAATAAGAAGTATGAAGTGACCATTTTGTTACAGAAAACCATGTAAGAAAAAATATAATTGGCTTATTGATTAAACTAGCAATACTTAGTCAACTCAAACAACAACAACTGCCACCAATAGAGCCAAGAAGCTTCCACTAATCATAGTAGTGCAATTTGAAAAATGTGGGAATGAACCAAAAATGGGGTTTGGAGACTGATTTTAATTGATTTCAAAAGGATGTATGATCAATGCCAAAATGTACACATTTGGGCCCTCTAACACATTTGTTACACCTTCAATCATCATTACTTGATTCAATTATTTCAAGGTTTCTTGGACCTTTGCACGTACTTCGTATAAGGTTGAAATGTTAAGGCAATAGGAAATGCAAGGGGAGAACAAAGAAGAAAAGAGCACGACATCTGCCCTGAGCCAACCAGGCACCCAACCTCATTGCCCGGGAAGTGGCCGCCAATATAAAAAGTTTTGAGATTTGAATTCTATACCAGGCCACCCATGAGGTAGTGACGCGAAAAAATCCATGTCTTTTTAGGATTTTGGACGGGAACACTCCATATTGAACCCTAATTCATATTGGATTATACAAGGACAACTAAAACTCATAGAAAGGGGTTCTTCACTTATTGAAAGAAGGCACAAGAGGCCAGAGGAAGGTGAAAGTTCAAAGGACAAATTTCTCCACATCTGTGGCGTTCTCCCCCTCCATGGAAACTGAACTTTTCCCTTAGGTAGTATTTGGTTCACTGGAATGGAATGATCATTCCATCAAAATATTCATTCCCATGTTTAGTTAGAGTAAAAAAATAATGACAAATTCATTACAAATGGAATCATTTTACACCATTTTAAGATAATGGTCGTTCCATAGGAAAAGCCTAAGGAATCACCATTCTATTTCATTCCAATGAACCAAATAGAGCATTAGAATGTAGATGAAACCATAGTGAAGTTTCTTTGCTTTGTTGTACTATTTTGGGATTCATTAGTTAGTACAGTGACTGTATAACCTTGAGGATTATAAATATTATCGATTTTGATGTTCAATCTAGTATTGTTTTGATTTATATTCTTTTAAATTTAATGGTTACGCAATGGTAATCTTTAACTTGTGCCTAGAAAAGATGAAATGTCTTGCAACCCTAGTTTAGTATAGACATTTCGTTCTAATCAAGTATGAGTTATGTTTGATTGTTAAATTCATGAATCCTCTTGAAGACACCATTGGAGCTTGTAGTAACCTTGAGTCACTATCATATAAATTAAGTAAATCCCAAAATTGATACAATAACCTTGTTGGGAGATTAGTGGTAGATTCAAAACCCTAAATTTTTCCATATTGAATTACAAATTTAAATTTTGACTTTAATTAATTTTTACCTTTCATTTCAAATTAATTGAAGAAGAAAATTTTAGATTTGTAGCAATTTAGTACCAGTCTCTGAGGTTCGACACCCTTACGTTAGCTACTGTCTTACTACAATTTATGTCGTTGCGAGGTTATATTTTTGCATGATCAAATTTTGGTTCAATAGATGACCGATAAAATATGGTGATTCTATGGTTTCAAGTGGTGCAACAAAAAGGGCAAGGGTTTGAGAATGAAAATTCTATGAACAATATCCGTGAAGGGTTTAGGTGTCCTTTTAGGCACCAAGGTTGAGCAATTGTGATGGGCAACAAAATTGGTTTTCAAATAGGATGATTTAAATCTGGTTACAGGATTTTAAAGGCTTTAAGTTGGAAAAATATAAGAAGAAGAAGAAGCAAATTATAAACATTTGCATCACACAATCTCAAAAGATGCATATTTGTTGAAAGTAATTCTCTCAACAACTATTTTATATTAAAATTAAAAGTAATCCCATAGCTTTTATAGACTTTTAAAAGTATTCATAACCTGATAGGAATTGGATTTCCAATTCGAAAACTAAGTATATCTAAAACTTATAAGAAACTTATTACAAACTAAACAGCAGCATATTTGATGAAAAACAAACATAATAGGACTCCACTAAGACTAACAAGTTGAGTATGCATAGTTCCTCTCTAGGTCGCACAATGAAATCATACCAATTTCCAACTATTGCCATATCTTTAAATTTACTTTTCTTCAGCTTCTTATAGCATTTATCAGTGGGATAACTCAAAATAAATCCAGGATACAAAGCAATGGTGTGGGTCCCCTTTGATGGGACAAAGTTGGGAAAATGGGCCCCTATTATGCATCCAACCTATTGTCACCCCTAATTCTGAAAGCAACATAAGAAGCTTTTATGAGATTAATAGGAGATGCCTAAGGAAATCAAGATGAGATTCTTTTTTAGTGGGAATCTAGATAAGATTCATATGGGCATGCTTGACTTCTTTTTTTTGTTCCATTTTCGGTTTTTTGTTATCGGAGACTAAAAAATGCTTACTAATCATGCACACAATTTATCAGCCCTAAAAAATTTAATGACACCATTGTATAGCACACTCTGCATATATATATATATATATATCATGTTATCAATATATTCATTAACACAACTTCAAGAGCTTGCAAACTTGTAATGGCCAATGAGACACACTTTATGTATCTATATGCAATTGATTTAAATTTTAAATTTTATATAATTTGACATACATTACGAATAAATTTAATTAATATATTTTAAATTCTAGATACTTGTTGGTAAGACAAACTAGACTTTCCATTTAATACAAAACAAAGGATAGACAATGAACTAGATAGCTTTGATTATTATAATGCCACAGTTTAGACCTCAATTGATAACGGCATTCAATGGTATATTTTGTTGACTTTTTCAAATATTCAATGTTATTTTGGGGGGTGTAAAAGTTTCATTCATGTTCATGTATTAGTTTTTATTAAGTTATGAAAAATTCTCTTAATTTGAAAAGAATCAATGGTTGAGCTAGTGTAATTCACCCCACCAACACTGGCATGGCAAAAGCAACAATGGGCCCATTAATTTTTATCAATTATGATTGTCAATGATCAAATGGTTAAAACGGGTCAATTTTCATAGGTTTCATTATCACACATTTTGAATGAAACTCTATATCATATTAAACCCAAAAAAAAAAAAAAAATCGAAACTTATAGGTTTGTTGCTTTAAACTCCAACTAAAAAGGCACTTCTATAATGGAGGTATCAAAAGAATGAAAAGAATTATTTAGCTTATCTAATGAATGAGGTAGAAGGCATGTATATATAATAGATTCATGATACAATTTAGGAAACGATATAAATAAGGAAACAATACTAAATCAGTGATTGACGCAATCATAGATTATATACATAATACTAAAAATAAAAAGATCCTATGTACTCTAATTTCTATATTCAACACTCCCCCTCAAGCTGTTGTGAAGATATTCAATAATCGTAGCTTGCCAATGGATGACTAGAAAAAGCTGAAAAAAACTCAACGGCTAGTTCAAATAAATATTACCAAACAAATCTAGTAGTCCACTAAATAAAAAAAGCCAAAAAGTGCTTAATACATCAGCATCACACCCTAGAAAGGGAAAAAAAACAAGGACTGAACTGCCCTAGAAGAGCTGCCGAAGCATCTATGGCCAGGAAACACCCTGATCGGCAGTCAACAAGACCCTAGTCAGCATCAGAGGCCAGAGCTAATGTCGGGAGATAGTTTATGGCCAAGCTAGACCGTTGAAGGAACTAATCGGAATCAATGTCATAACAGTTTAAGGGGTCATGTCGGACCGTTGTAGAGACTAACCGAAATCAATGTCGGGATAGTTTAAAGGGGACATGCCGGACCGTTGTAGAAACAGGTCGGAACTAATTTCGGAACAGTTTAAGGTCATGCTGAACTGTTATACGAACTGACTAGAATCAATGTCGTCAGGACAGGTTACGGGGTTATGCTGGACTGTTATAGGAACTAACCGGCGAACAGAGGAAGAGATAACCACGAAGCGATACTGAAAACTGAAAAAAAAATATGGCAGCGGAATGGGTTGAGGTCCGGCGAGCAACCAAGGCAAGGTTGGGTTGCCGCCCGCCGATAAAGCAAAATTACTAGGCACTTAACCTAACTCTGATACCAAAAAGAATGAAAAGAATTATTGGGCTTATCTTATGAATGAGGTAGAGGCCATATATATATAATAGATTCATGATACAATTTAGGAAACGATATAAATAAAGAAACAATACTAAATCAGTGATCGACGCAATCACAGATTATATACATAATACTAAAAATAAAAAGATTCTATATACTCTAATTTCTATATTCAACAGTATCCTAGGCTAGCTTGTGCAAGTATCTGATGTTAGCTTGAGAAGAACCTCCGGAGTTGTAACTTCTGAATTTCCCCAATGCTGATGAATTCGCTACAAGCAACTGTATTCGCTGGACAAAACCTTCCCAATAAGTGGGCCTGTTGAAGTGGCAACTAATGAGTAAAATCATCGTCACTAAAAGTGAGAGACAACGATACAGGTTCAGATATTGAACAAAATGGAATGGAATGGCAAGTCTGGATTCATGTACCGATTTCCAAATAGAAGACAATACTTTGATGAACCCAAAAGTGACGTGATTTTACATGTCAATTTTATGACCAAAATGCTTATTTCGAAAACTGATATATGATATATGTAAATAAATCAACTATTGAATGAGCATTTTGGTCATAAGATTGGCGTGTACAGCTCACATGCAACTTTTTTGTCCTCTTTACATAATAGACTATTAACAGAATGTACCAAGTTTTAGTTGAGGAGGGTAAAGTGATACTGGTCCATAGTTAAGTTAAGGGGGGTAAAGTGTAATTTGCCCTATAATTTATTGAGGGAAGAGATGGATCTTTCAACAAAATAATGAATGGTTTTATCAATCCATGAATGTACAACTGCCAAGGAATTGGGCTCAAGCTTTCCCAAGCATAAAAAATTGTTTTGTTTCTAAAGTGGACTAACAAATATGAGATAAATCAGCGTTATTCAGTTTTCTTCACTTTGACTCAATTACAAGTAGAATTCATGAAGCTTGAAATGCATTTGTTAAAGGAAGGAAGTTCTGACATGTTTTGGCATGCCAAATACAGAATCCTGGAAGTTACTTTATTTTGTAGAAATTGCCCAATCAACTCTATTGACATCACAGTACTTAGATTCTGCAATCTCTCTTGATGTTCAGTCCTTTCCTCGTCTAATTATCATCACCATCTACTTCCATATCTTGAGGTTAATTAAACCATTTAGATTTTTGTTCTGGGGTCCGCTCCAGCAACCCTTCATCGTCTAAGGAGGCATCAAGCTACTGCCAGACAATTGAAAAGATAAATTCAACGAGGACAATGCCGGGTTCACTCACTTGCCAACCAAATATTATTGTTTTTGTTTCTGAAAACAAGAAGAAAAAAACATTGAACATGATACCAAACAGGGCCTTAATATTCTTTTTCTTCTTATTCATCTTCTTCTCCTCTCTGCTTCTCTACAATCTAATTTTGCAATGCCAGTCACAACCAAAGCCAAAATTCTTTAAATTTACATTTCAAAACTCAATCCACAATCCTAACACAACCAACCCTATGCTTACACATTTTAGTTTTAACACTACAAACTCATAATCAAATTCTATTTAAAAATTCCAGTAACCAAATTTCTAAAATTCCAGCTACTCCACACTACAAAAGTAACTTAATTCTAACTCTTCAGATTCACAAAGTCTACAACCTTTCATTCTAAGAAGCATAGCATGGGTACAACACGACATGGACACACTTGAAGTAACTGAATAGAATTCCAGCAACTTCACACTGCAAAAGTAACTTAATTCTAACTCTTCAGATCCACAAAGTCTACAACCTTTCATTCTAAGAAGCATAGCATGGATACAACACGACATGGACACACTTGAAGTAATTGAATAGAATTCCAGCAACTTCACTGCAAAAGTAACTTAATTTTAACTCTTCAGATCCACAAAGTCTACAACCTTTCATCCTAAGTAGCATAGACACGGACACAGTAACATGGCTATGACACAACGTGAACACACTAACACAACAAATCTTAAAATATAGGACATGAATACAGTGTGGACACATTACTTTTTCTTTTCTTTTTTTTTTTTCCTTTTTTTTGATAGTTGGGTGTCCGAACCAGCTTGCGCGCACCGTGACTAATCCCAAGGCCCCAAAGTTAATGACCGGCTAAACCTCCAATGGCCCCTTAGGGTGACTCAAACTCGAAACCTTAGATTTTATCCCCAAGTCTTTACCGCTCAGCCAATCCCTCGGGATTACGAGGACACATTACATATTAACATGTTTATATATTTTTTATGTATATATTATATAAAATGACATATAAATTAATTAATTATCCAAATACTTGTATTCATAATTACAAAATGTGAGACATGGAACTTTGCAAATAACACATACTACTCTTGTTCACTTTCTCGCTACATTTTTTGTATTTATCACTATGTCTTTTCCTATATTAGAATTGACAATTGCATACTCTACTTTGTGTTAGTCATCATAAATATGATGTCCTGTTCATAATGTTTTAAAACTCAATGGGGCTCATGCCCAACAATGTCGTACATCTCTCTTGTTAAGAGATTCATTTATTTCACATACGAATGTGTGTGAGAAGTATCGGATATGTTTCTAGAAGTCTCTAAGAAGTGTCAATGCTTGACATGAATATGGTTCCTCCCTAGAACCATATTACAACAATTTTGATTTGTTTGACAAGAGAAATATTTATGAAGTACAACAAAGAACAAAAACTCCACTCAAATATCTTATATGATCAATATACCTATTATATCAAGAACTCCAAGAAACCAATATCTTACATGATCAATATACCTACTATATCAAGAACTCCAAGAAACCAGTATTGATAGGTCTGAACTCTATAGCAATAACTTACCATTGTTGATTCACCTATGTGATTGGATATGGCTATGAGAAATACCACGAAATTTAAATAGCCCTTAATTGGAGTTCTACAATCTAGTAAAATAATGTCTAAAGTGCAACTTTCCTGTACCAACTTTGAGGTTAATGATTAGCCACCATTTTTCTTTTCTTTTCTTTCTAATATATTTTTAAGAACATGATATCTCACAATAGAGGCAATAGAGTTGAACCCTCGACCACTCGACATATCCAGATTTTAAAGCTCAACTGAGTAGCACTCATGCTACACGTGCAATGGCCTATTTTCTTTTTCAATTTGCACAGAGAATTTGAATTGTTCCAAAATTTAATTATACGACTATTTAATATGGTAATAAAGAAAATTTATTACTTTAATTTCAATAAAGTCTTGCCTAGTTTCAGGCAAGTATGCAAGTCTGAGAATTGAGACCAACAAATATTCAAGAGTTCAAAGGGGCGCCCATAGCAAACATCGTAGTTGGTTTTATTTAATAGACACTAAATATTCGACGTAAATTGCATTTGTTCTTCTTCACAACTTAACACAACTATACAAATGGTTAAGTATGTCTAGACATGTGTTAAACAAATGAGTACATGAAGTAGTGTCCTTTCCCTAAAAGAATATGATGACATCCAAACCAACCAACCAGAACAATTTAGCAAGTAAAAAGGATTACACACACTGCGACACAAGCTCATAGAGATCCAATTCTATGACTACAAAGGGGAATAAACCAAACAAATATATACTCCCACAATTATTTAGAATGACCACATGAAATTATACAAGAATTTCAAACACATAAACTAAAAGTAATCATAGTTTCACATTCATCAAACCAATCTCAAGATGCTATACAAGCTTCAAGAGATCACTTGCAATTCCCTAGATCCACACTGTACAATATTGTTCACTTTGGGCTTGCACTAGACACTTCGGGTTTTAAAGCGCATCATACAATGAAGGTTCAAAGCTCAAAATTACAAAGTGATGTGGGATAGGTACATGTACCTGCAACCTTCACCTCACCTCACCTCACCTCACCTCATCCATCTTGGCCCCAAGCCTCGATTGCCTTGGCTCTTAGATTAGGGTCACCACAATCAACCCCCCTAAAAGGCCACACGTCCCAATGTAGGACCTACTCAAGTACATCAAGCTCCTCAAGTTTGTCCCCTGTGGAACCCACCTGAGCACTGTCCCAATATGGAACATGTCCTAACTCATCCTAATGTGGGACCCACCCCACATTTCCAGTTGGCACCAACTATGATACCATTTGTAATGCCCTGAACCGTATTGTACAGTATTGTCTGTTTTGGGCTAGGCCCTGACGGCTTTAAATCATCTCATACAATAAAGGTTCAAAGCTCACACTTATAAGACACTTCATCAAGCAAAGTTGAATTTTGCAATAATCTAAATAAGCGCACTTTTTTATTTTTTATAAAAAGATGTGTAGAAAAGTAGAGAGGTGAAGTGACCTAAATAAGTACACTTATCTAAATAAGTGTACTTATTTAGAGTTATTTAGAGGATGCCAAACAAATATGGAGAAAAATAGAGGCAAAAAAATTTTAAAAAAAAACCACAAAGGTTTAACATGGTTCAGCCAATATTGGCCTACATCCACACACAAAAAACTTTATGGCTTACATCTTTCATTCACTCAACTTAATCCTCTTATTTACATAATACACCATATACATAGCATGTGAGATACAATTAAATCCCTTCAGTTAAGAGATTTAAATAAATCAAAGACAAAAAATCAAGATATGCACAAATTATGAGATCTCTATATATTATATCTTCCATATATTTTGATAACTTTAACAATATAATATTATCTTCAACAAGTGGGACAGGTCACAGGTTTATGGACTTGCAACCTTCACCTCACTTCATCCATCTAGGCTCCAAGGCTCAAGATTTTTGGCTCTTGGATCAAGGGCACCACATCATTGTTCTTTGAAACAATGCTTGAAAGGCATTACACATCCTTGAATAGCAAGCGTGAAACAATTCCTATAGAATCATTTTTAGGTACCAATAATGAAATAACCTTTTCACAAGAAATTTGATGGTTTCAATCAATTTTTATCATGGTATATCATAAAAGGAGAAAGTGCAGGAAGTATATGAATACGCTTGATGAAGGCACCCCCATGCTTCTAGGTAAAGAAAAGTATTATGCACAAAAAATAAGCCCACAATTGAATTTGACAAGAACATGGCAACTCATCAAGAAGTTCACACATATTGTAGCAGATAATATATATTATAAAATCAGCAAGCTTCTTATTAAATACTCAATCAACCTATACAAGGAAGCTGGATAAAAAGAAAGACAATTAGATATAGTAAGGAAGCAAGAAATCATCCCACCTTCGTCCATATTTATCTGAAACAAAGCCCCATGAATATGCACCAACCAGCATACCAGCAAAAACCACACTAGTGATTAGGCTCTCTTCATGAGATGAAAGACCCCATGTAGACTGAACTGCTGGTCCTACAAAAGAGAGAAGCATCATTTCCATAGCTTCTGAGACCCAACCCATCCCAGCATATAATAGGACAAGAACTTGGAAATTTCCAAAACCCACAGCCAGAATTGCTTCATCGACAGTGTATGTTTGGTTCTCATCGACAGTATCTGTTTGGTTCTCACCTCCCATCTACAGAACAAGAAAACATAGTATTATGCCTCTTGGTGCACTTTGAACATTTCTTCATAGCATGATTGTATTAAGAATCACTTCATATCAAAAACTTCCTAATAAACGCCTCAAGAAAACTATGATTTCCTGGCATATGGGTGATCATTACAAGAAGAAAAACAATAAATGTTTAGTATCCTGATGAAGAGTAATGCTATCTCCAATCCTTCCCAAGATTTTTCATTGCTAAATTTTTGGAAATAATGCATAACCAATACGACAACAAAGTCTCTAATTTGACTCTGCTTGCCAAAGTTGTATTATTTTGGTAGATTTCTAGAATTTGATTGGTGTAGATTTACATTTATTTTCCTCTCCCTAAACAGACCAGCCTCACACTGCACATATGCTCACCGAATCAAATACAAGTTTGCATATATGATTTATGCTTGGAGATTTGTACAGATACTGACTTCAGTTCTATTTCCACTAAAACTTTTACAAGTCTCCATAGGCCTTTCTTCTTGTAGCAACCACCAAAAGTGCGTTATAGCTCACTGTCTTTTTTTCATTTTTTTCTTTTAACTTTTTCTGATAAATAATAATAACAAGGAACCAAAGTACATCTCATCTCACGTTGGGATTCCTTCCCTATTCGACCTAGTAAATAAGGAAAATGGTCAAAGCACACCCTATACGACATTCCATTTCATTATGTCCTTCCAATCAAAAAGTAAACACGAAAATTAGATGATGAAAGACAATCATATGGACATGGCCTCCCATTAAAACCCAACATAACCTTCATTTAGTTTAGTTCAGTTAGACATGACAATACATACAAGTTGAAGAGCTGTAAAATTTAATAGATCAAAAAACAACGCTATATTTTTATGGTTGGTTGGGTTGTACTAATTAATACCTTCAGGCCATGTTTGTTTGGACAGACTAGATGAGGTTGGATTAGCATTCTCATGACTAATAGTTCTAGGACTACAAATCATTTGGATTGTGTATGTTTGGATTGAGTTAGGATTATAAGGAGGACTAATAGTCCAGACTTTGACTTAATCCTCCAATTTATATCTCACCCCCTCTGTGAAATTGAATAGTCTATTATATGTAGGATACCATATCCGGATGGATTGTTAGTCCGTACTTCAATTGTTTAACCAAATATCAGATTAATTATTTTATTGGACTATTAATCCAATCTCAAACTCACGTCCATCCAAACAAACATGCCCTTATTGTCCAAAAAGGTGACTGACAAGTTGCTTTATTATAGCCAAAAGGAGGAGATGGGAAGAAGTCGAGTTTGCATCAAATTTTGACCAGCGAGCGACATTGAGGCTACAAAGGAAGCATAATGATATGATATGATATCAAATTTTGAAGGAAAATGATACACAAGCCCACTAGACCCATTTTCTAGACCCTAATTGGTTGATGAATGTTAATGAATGCGTTGCATTTGACTCGGCGGATTAGGGCAGAATGGAGTCCGGTTGCGAGATCTGCGTGCTTTGTTTTGGAGTCAGTCAAACAAGGGTAACAGTTGAGTTTGAGTTTGAGTTACTTACAGCGATTGATATAGCAGAGTGTAGCCACGTCGTCAGAGGTTTATAGCAGACTGTCGATTTCGCTCAAGTTTCGCCACCACCAACGTCCTCCGATCGTTCATCTCCAAGACGCCATACATGTACTACCGCCAACAAACCAACCAGGCTTTTTCAGATCTATTAAAATATATATATATATATATATATATATAATATTGTGTTGTATACCAAACCTACATGTAGCTTCCCTTGACATTTCTTTCCAAAAGAGAAGGAACAAATTTGAGAGAAATCATTTTTTTATTTTTTTTCAATGCCATTTACGCACAACACGTATACTCCATTAACACTTTGAAAAATGTCGCCGGTGGTTTAGCATATTTTTTAATTTTTTATAGAATAATATGTAAAAAATAAGGAAAATAAATAGAAAAAATAGAGAGAAAATATTGATTGATATAACTCAATAAGTGTATATATATATAAAATAAAATAAAGTATATTTTTTAAATGAACGTCAAATACCTACAAAGGCTTCGTTTAGAAAGTGGGTTGGTTTTTTAATTTTTTTATTTTTTTACCTATTTTAGCCTAGGGTTAAAAAACTTGGTTTGAAAATGATTTTTAACTTTTTTGTAAGAGAAAAAATATAATAATTATGAGTTGAATGTGATATTTTATCTTATTAGTGTAAAAATTTATTTTGTTTTATCAATATCTTTATTAAATATTTTACAAAAGTGTATATTTTATATGAGTCGTACATCATAAAATATTTAATAAAAATATTAATAAAATATTTAAAATCCTTACCAATCCAAAACGGAAACAACAAATTTGATAGAAACCATTTTTTTTTTTCTTTCAAGGCCATTTACACACAACATGTATATTTCGTTTGAGTGCAGGGCGTATGTGGGTGCATTATTTGATAAAAATATTAGTAAAACATTTAAAATCACTAACATTCTTAACATTTTAGATGGGATTTTTTATTTCCTTAAATTCTATTAATTTTTAAAAGGCCAAATTACATTAAAATAATGGTGGTTCATTATTTATAATTATTTATAATAAAAAAAATACTGATGTAATGTTCAGATGTAATGTTCATTTTGATTTTTAAAATTTTAAATCATCATAATTTTTAATATATATATATATTTTTAGAATCAACACAATAAAATTTAATATTAAATGCAAAATTATATAAAAATAAGAATATTTTTTTTATTATAAATTTACGATCCAAACCATTTTTAATAATAAGTTTTCTTAACTTACCTAATTAAAAATATTTTTTTGGTTTTTTTTTTCAGTTTTCTTCAATTTTAAAATTGAGAATAACAGTTTAAAAGTAAAAAAACTGACTCAATTTAAAAATTGAAAGAAAATGAGAAATTATTCAAAAACTGAAAACATTCTCAGTTAATAACACAAAAAAAAAACTAATAAATTTCTCAATTTTACTAGATAGTTTCGCATATTGAGAAATTATTAATTTTATATAGCTAAAAAAATTATAAAAGAAATTAAATTTTATATTCAATATTGGTATTATTTGATAGATCTCATTGTGTACATTCCAAAAATATAAATTTTATTAAAAATAAATGTGTATAATAAAAGTTAGAAATTATTCAAAAACTAAAAACATTCTCAGTTAATAACCCCAAAAAAAAAACTAATAAATTTCTCAATTTTACTAGATAGTTTCGCAAATTGAGAAATTATTAATTTTATATAGCTAAAAAAATTATAAAAGAAATTAAATTTTATATTCAATATTGGTATTATTTGATAGATCTCATTGTGTACATTCCAAAAATATAAATTTTATTAAAAATAAATGTGTATAATAAAAGTTATGAAATTTTTAAGTTTTCAAATAACGAAATTAACAATACCACTAGAATAAGAGAAAATATCTAGTTCTTTTGAGGCATAGTTAGGTAATTACTAAAAGATTTGTGATTGGTGAAGAGAGTAGGCCCACAATTTTGCATTGATGAGGCATAATACTTGGTGATTGGTAGATAACATTATCATGTGGTGTACTTGTAACACTTAATAAATTTTTATTAGCACTCAATGAATTGACACTTCTCAATTCCTTTCACCTTTTAATAAGGGTAAAACAGTCATATACACATAAATATTTTGAGAGGGTTATTATTAACACCTACCTAAATTCTTTGGACCTTCTATTTCTTTGAGCCCCCACCCTAAACCGTAAATTTCAGTAAGATTTCTTTAAACACCCCACTTATACCAAATTTACCCCTATTCATGATATTATCACACCCAAGGCACGCCCACCTAATTTTTCACACCCTCTCTCCTTTTCCTTTTAATGACTGTTCATCTCCTATTAAAAAGAATGTTGACAGTCATTGCATTAGTAAACACCATTGCCTTAATGAAAAACATTGCATCGACATTCCATCATTGAAATTCTTGTCGACTCTCAACGAAAGAAGAAATCAACTAAACGGTGTCCAAAGAGTACCGTCGAAAAACTCGTCAACTCCGCATCTTGGCAACATCATTACTTCTCTTCTTTCTATCACATTTTTGTTTTTTAGGTTATTAAACCCTCATGAAAAATATAATCTGGTGTTAAAGATACAAAATCGAACCGTTAGGCACACCAGTGCCAAAAATAAAGGTCATATTCAGTTTGACAGTACCAACTATCCACATTACTTTCATGTCTCAATGGTCTTCATCAATCATCGCTCGCCCATTATAGCTTGATGAAATCTAAGAACCACTATTTGGATAACTATTTTAGGCCGTAAAAGATTTATTAGAACTAACAATCTTTTTGCGCTCCTAACTTTTCACTATAAATGCAGAAGGTAAATCTCTATGAATCTACTTATCCAATTCTCCAATGAGAAGTTAGGTCACAATGTCCACAAATTAAAGTTCTGAACTTATGTCATTCATAGCCTATGTGGAAGTAACCTCACTCCATAGGAGGAAGTCTTCTCACGGTCTACATCTTCTTCAATGGTGCGGCTTTTCGGTATCTAGTGAGCCTAATGCCTAAAAAAATGACTATCCAAATCGCGCATAACTTTAGAACAATTTCGCATCATAGCAGAAAGTCAACCAAATCCTAGAAATTGTTAATCCTCAAAGATTTTGCCTTAAAATGTGCAACATTGATCACTTTCTAAAAATAGGGGACTAGAGAGCCTTTGGCATTATTCTAGGCTCTTATCATCTTGCGGAGCAATCGTGAATCACCTAGTGATGACGTGGAAAATTTTCACATTCGCTATCATGCAACTAAGAATGTATTTTTCTCTAACAGAGTAATCCACTAGTAGGCACGTCGTTCCCACTGTCCCTAGGATATTGGAAATTTCTTTCCATTCTCAACTAGGTTACATAAAGCGCCATACTTAGAATTCTCTATCTTACAGAGTTCCAAAACTATATTCATGTCACATTTACTAAAAAAGGTTTATGTGACTTAGTTACACTCTCACAAAGCTGCTCACCTATAAGCACATGACCCGGAAAGTTTACATGACAGCATACAATAATTTGCCACATGACCCTAAGCGTTTACAAGACAACATACAATAATGTGCCATAAAACTCTAGGTCTTAACTTTGCAACCTTATGAGAAGTAAAATAAAGATAAGTTGTTTGATGGTTATAGATCGGCCACAAATGGCTCTCCGCTAACCCATTACTCAAATGAAGTGTAAAATCTGATATGGAGGTGTAGACGTCCCCGAACGTCCTGGGAGGGAAATCCCGTTTTGTTCGTTGGGCTCATTACAGTTCGGACTCAAAAGTCACAGTCCTGTATCTAATATTGCAGAGTGCAATGCAAGACTGATGAATCATCAAAGAGTCCAAATCTGGCAAATCATTTTTGAAAACAGATTTTTTTGAAAGAAGTGCCAAACATGGACTGCTTTGCCGGATACAGAGTCGCCACCTAAATATTTTATTTTGGAAAATTTAGGAAACCCTGACTCGTTTGCCTAAGGCCACGTGTCCGTCATCACCAAAGTTGCCTCGGCTCGGGAACTTGGGTACGATTGGAGAAGGTCACTTCGTGAGCACCCCCGCTCGCCCAATCAAAGATCGGCCTCTACTAACCATAATATCAAGTTTTGAAAACATTATGTGCTCTTATTCCGGTTTATTAGCCTAGAATTACTATGTGATGCGCACAACATACAAGTATAGACTGGATTACCTAAGTTGGACAAAGCATCGCACATCCGTTTATTTTAAAAATGGATTGAAGTTTGCTACTCGCAAGTAGGCTAAAACACGAGTTTCAACAAATTATCCCATCTCAAGCAACCCAACCTTCACCCACAGGCATTCAGACAGGTATATCACATAAGCACATAGCCTCATGGTAAGCATGCTATCATGGCAGTCACTCACACGCATGCAAGGATGCTAAAGCATAAATACTTACCGAGTACTCCAAGCCAAAACAGAAGCTATGTTAGAAATCCATGCATGATCCTAACTATACAGAAATGCCTAATGCAACACATGCAAAATGCAACTATAGCAGGCTCGGCTATTCTAAAATGACATGTGAAATGCTACAACTAACAAGTATTCAACTCGGGAATTGAAATACGATGCAGTTAGTATGATGCGTCGAGCCCGGTGCATGCAAGACAGATGAATGGATGCAAACATGCGAGCATAAGTATGCTAATTGAAACATGCCCTAATCTAACCATCATAAGCTGGTAAATAAAAGGGAGAAAGAAGTGGGGGTTGGAAGAACATACATCACACACACGCACACTTATTACAATTATGCCCTCGCTTGGAGGGTCCGAATAAATAATACAGTTCGAATAAATGATTAAATATTACAAAACCCTATTTAATTAACAAATTAACTAGGAAAGTAAATAAACTAGCATGGGTATTCATGGACCGCCTCAGCTCTGTTCCGAATGATGAAAGATGCATGCTCGAGTTGCCTTGTGTGGAAATCCATTGCGATGCCCCGATTCGCCTCTGTTTGCAATTAACCTCAGAATGCTGTGCAAGGCTTTAGAAAGTTGCTGATTTCTGATTTGCTGCAACAGAGAGCAAGAAAGGGGCATGGCAAAGTATTTTCATATATGTATGCACACCTCGATCCTCGTGCCACCAATCACGCATCTCGATGCACGATGGCCGAGAAGTCGAATTGCACGACTCGATGTGAAATGAATGCACATATAAACACAACAAGGCCTAGACTCCATCATGGTTAATCCGGAGTGTCGGCAACCGGGAATTGAGACGTGTT